TTTTAATTTTTTTAAATTAGAAATGATATACAATATATTTTTTTCATAATATAGTAAGATTTATATAATAAATAAATAAAGTTATATATATTCAGATTTTGACTAATCTAAAAGAATTTAGACAAGCCAACCCTATTTAATGCTTTGAGAACCAAAAAAGGAAATTTATTTATATTTTCGTTAAACCCCAAAATTTAGTACAAACTTTCAATTTGGTCTCAAAACTTTAAAAATTTTGTTTTGGTCTTTAAAATTTTAAATTAAAACTTTTTTTTTTCCTCTAAGAAATTTTTACTGACACGTCTCATTAGTTAATAGAGGAAGCTGCTTTTTTTTTGTTCAATGGCATTCCGACCAAGATTTGATTAATCTAAATTTGCCATCACTAAAATCAGATTTAATACTTTTATGAAGAATTTAATCTTTTTTTGGTGGTAACAATTTTGACAGGGATTTGAACCCAATTCCGTGCACCATCATTAAATATCCAGGTGCAAAAATGGCAAATTAAAAGAAAAAAGAATCTAGTTGAATGAGATTTCCATAAACTCTCCAATTCATTCCATAGTCTCTTTTAGTGCTAATCTACTACCCAATACTTTGACATACACAGTGCTATATATTATATATATGTATTGAAGCCAAACATATAATAAGTGAAGTATTTAACTTACAGAAGTTCGATAGCAACATGATGGCCAAAAGCAGAGGTTTAGTTCTGTTAATGTTGGTGTCTTTGTTAGGAATATTGGCGACGGTTCCGGCAGATTACCGCGATGCTTTGTCAAAGAGTATCTTGTTCTTTGAAGGCCAAAGGTCAGGAAGGTTGCCAAGAAACCAAAGGATGAAATGGCGAGGGAATTCTGCTTTTAAGGATGGCTCTGACATTGGTGTAAGTTAATTAACTCTGTTTTTTTGTTCTTTATGATAATTTATCAGCTCAATTTTTAATAGATGTTCGAATAAGACCCTTAACTTAAAGTGCAATTCGATTTTTCGATGGATTTAACCTGTGGCTATCATGATGCAAGGGACAACGTGAATTGTTCAGGCACGTGGCCTACCCTAGAATTTGCCCCGCAGATGCATGTACATAATGTACCTTTGCTTCTAGTCTTCCACCCTTACAATACGTACAAGGGAGGCGGCTGCAATGATGCTGCAGAATTAGAGTTGAAGCTTACTCGGAGTTTTAATTTGTTGAAATTATTTATATTTCATAAATTTAAATATTTTTTAAATTTATATTTTTAAATTTATTTTTAATCTTAAAAAAATTTTAAATA